TTATTCTTTGTATAGTTTGGCGCTTTGTGCTTGGTGCTTGCTGCTTGGCCCACGTCTTAATGCAGCACAAAAAAGTTCAAATAAAAACAGTAAAAAAACAAATCTTAAGAAAACTTTTTCTTTTACTTATTTGAATGCATTCATGTATGTATTGTTGTTGCTTTTATTTTCATTTATGTGGACACAGTTTTTACATTTGAATTTTTTCCTTTTATTCACAACCATATTGACTTATTATCGTTTGTACATACATACACCAAATAGGTTTAAAATGACCGTTCTTCGGATATACTAACTATACTATATAAGCTACATAAAGGTGGGAGTTAATTACTAAGCCTGATATATAAAAAAAATTGTTGAACTTTCACGAAAATTATATTTTAAGTGTTATTCTTTGAAATCATTACTATCCCCTGGTACTACCAGTGACCAACTACAACTTCATTGACCAGTTATTAATGAATATTTTAGTAGAAGAAATGAAAATCGTTTTTAATTCAATAAATTTTTGAGATTTATTAACTTTCAACTGTTTTACTCCTTTCATTTAAGTACCTATTCGCAGAGTTTTAAGTTCTTATTCTTTTCAATATACATTACCTTAGATTAATGCTTTTTGACAGAAAAGAAACATCAATGGAGCACTCTACTCCATTGATGTAAATAGTTCCGTGAGTTTTGTAATGTTTACAAAGTTATGCTGAGGCCAAGTTAGGTTCTAACACCTAATTAGTCTTGCTGTTGCTAAGTAAGATGTGTATCCTGAATTATCCCGTTCAATTTAACAATAAAATAAGTTTCGTAAATGCACGACTTAAAAAGACCATAATATTGGTAGGGCAGTACATTTTGACGTTTATAAAGCAGTCTAACATATCGAATTCTATCAAAAACACATTAAACATTATTATAATAAATGCTTAATAGAATATTGCCTCACTTTTTTGTCATAGTATGGTACATGTCAATTGTCAAGTATGTAACTATTAAATAAAATGCCTACTCAAATTAAAATATTTTACAAGTAAATCTGGTCCAAACGCTTGTATCAAATACTAGATTAAAGTCAAGGTCACGGCGAATAAAGTGGATGCTCGTCAGCTTGTGTATCTATCGAATTTTTTATGCTCACCGGTTTGAATAAAGACCAGTAGCGAAATATAAAACTGAAGTTGACTTACGGTGTAAAAAAAAAGGAGAGACATACGTAATAAAACACACTGCCTGTTAAAGCCAATTATCCAGTAAGAAATTTTCCGCACTGTTACCCTAAAACCTGGCACACGTCAAAACAAATGTCCGTAAAATAATATAAGAATTAAAAAAAAAATGTACAAAAAGGTTAAGAAACTGTAGACACTTGCCAGACACTATCGGGCCACTCTAACCAGCTGAAGTACAGGCACGACGCAGCCTTACTATGCAGTAGTGGTAAGCATAGTGGAAATGCTACATTACACACTTTTTTCTGGTTTACACCAGCAGAGAGTGTATTTGTGTTTGGGGTCGTTCTGTGCTCGCCTTGTGTTTTTGTGTACTTTAGTCGTAATGAGTTGGTGTGTGTGTGTCATTACTTTTTAGTGTTTCAGTTAAATGTGAAAAGTTTTCATGTTTGTACAAATTTTTTCCTCTAATTCCTGCTGTCAAGTTTTGTTTCTTTTGTCGCTTCCGTCACACAACACAACTGCAGCTGTTGTTGCCAGCCACACATACTTTTTTTCATAGTCCTTTACACAATGTTTTTGTTGTACTCATACATATAAAAAAAATTATTTTATTTTTGTGTCTAAGGGCAAAAAGGTTCGCCTAAACTCCAGCTTTTGTGGGTTATTATTTTCATATGTGTTTGATGGCAACAGGTTGCCTTACAAATTTGCTCCTTTGTGTGTGGATTTGTGCCTATTATGTTCGCAAACATTCTGTGGTTGCGTTGACAGCAGCGAGTGCGAGTAAGGGTTTTATTGTCCCATTGACGTACTTCCAGTCGCATTGTTTCTTCGAATTTATTTTTCTTTTCAAAAAAAAGTCTACTTCTTTCTTGCTATCCGAATAGAAGCAATTTTGAATCGTTCGTATAAAAAAATGATTTTTAACAAAAAAAATTTATTCAGTTGAATTTTATATTTATGTTTCCGCAGTGGGAATTCGAGTCTACAAAAAAAAAAACGAAAAAATATTGATATCATATAGGTTATATACAAAAATAGGTGTCAGAAATTTATACCTACGTACAATATTCATGTGTATATGGATGAGACGACAAATCTAATATTTTAATTACCCTATAGGGGCCAGGACCGACATCGATTGTTATCTCCAATAAAATTACAACGAAATACCAATTGGAAATACTTGAGCGATATAGCTATAACAGTGAAGACATCAAAGAAAGCATCTACTTCTGAAAACTAAAACAGAGAGCCTACAAGAACTTGCTTCTTACAACTTAAACAGTGATCCGTATCAGGACCCAACTTTTCACAGTGCATTCAAGTAGGTGTTTTACTATGGAATATCATATACAAAGTTGCAAACTTTGACTACTTACTACTGAAAAATAACCGGAATTATTGTAAAACATTTTTAAGTCTATTTGATACTATATCCCACAGTTTTAAGAAAACAACAATTCCAATATAGAAAAACACATTACTGTTGGTCTTCAGTATTTCATTGGCTTAAGAGAAGAGAAGTCTTTTGTTCAGAACAAAAAATTACTTGACAAAAAGACAACCAACTTAGAAAGCAATAAATATAATTCATTTGAGTTGATAATGACAAAATAGATATTTTATAGACTAAATAAGTCAAGTCTGCAGCCTATAGAAGACCTGTGAAGAAGGTCACGGAGTAAGAATATCATTTGGCAAAAATTAAACATCTAACTTAGAGAGCAATAAATAAAGTACATTTCAGTAAAGGAGTTTAATGAAATAACAACAAAATATGTTCATTGCAAAACCGGTTTATAAATTTTTTTAGTATGTAATTTTTTCTTTCTCAGTGGCCTTTCTTAATTAATTGGAGTATACCTTTGTTCTCAGTCACATCTACTTTAAACTTGATTCAATACTGAAGATACTCAAAATCAACATATATATTGAAAGTATACGTGGGCCAAGAAAATATATCTACTCTTTAGTATGATATCACTAAAAATCCCCAAAAATTTATTTATAACATCAGAATATAGTTAGTTTAGTGTATACAAAAGTTGAGGACGCCTACAAAATTGAGGAGGTACCACTAAAATAGAAAAAAGCGTGATGTGAAAAGCAGCTATGGCACATTTTTCTATTCGTTTTACAATATTAAAATCACAAATCGTCAATATTTTCAAAATAAGCGTTTTATGATTGGCAAAACTATAATATATTTTGTAGCGATTTGTGGAATGTATAACGCAAATGTAAACTAAGGAAACCAAATAAGATATTCAACTGTAATCGCAATAAAAAGGAATAGTTTCAATGTATGCGATCTTATAGCCCAATTTCCTGTAAGAAAAACTATTTTTTTAAGAATCCGTGTTCTATTTCTTTGAAATAAATATGATAGTGCAGCTAAATAGACCTATGGCGAAGTTACCTTTAGTTTACACTTGGTGGCAAACCTTTGCAAGTTCCTTTTATCTATCCCATAAATTGCTCATGTCCCAATCTGCAACAAAACTGGTGGAAACAGAAACTAATAAATGAGATTATGTTGAGTTGACTCTAAATCCTGATAGTTCCTCAGGTTTGTTATTATTCGCTATTTTAAAAATCGTTGATAATAATGTGCAAGGTTAAAAGATATATAACAACCTGCTTGTAGAAATATAGTTTTGTGCAGCCTTTAAGTGGTCTTCATTTTTTTGGCTTAACCATAATCACTTATAAGTTTTTTTAACATAAATTAAAGCATTTGATTAAAAAATTTTAATTATTAATAATTGCTTTTTATTATTTATTTCAGATTGTTGCTCATAAACTCTCAACGGCAGTGCTGATAAAGCATAAAGCATAAAGCAGCTAAAAATAAATTCTTAAAATAAATTTTCCTACTGAAAAATCTGCATAAAAAACTGGACCAAATAACAGGTATGTTTCGAGTTTTACACGTAGCCTTTACAGCCAATTAATTATGGCTTTAATAATAATAAATTTAGTCGAAACACGTAATTAGGTCGAATGTTGTTGAATCTTTTTTAATATATAAAAACCAACAAATAAATTACAACAATTTTCCAACTTAATTTGCGCTTCATTATGCAAACTTTCTTTCATAATTTTTTTATACGATTTTTGAAGTCATTTATTATGGATCAAATGGAGCAATCAAGGTTTGGGTTCCCAGCGAGCGCCTTCACGGTGTTTCCTTTTTAGCTGCACATTTCTTCAGAATGTGCATTGATGTGCATAAGCAATTACTACGCAAACCCAACACAATTGTATCTGAAATTAAGCTCATGAAAATAAAACAAAATCTGAGATACGCGTACGCAAATGGTTATAATTATAATTCATGTATATTATAAGCACTGTATATTGTGTATTGTGGTTAAGTATACGGGCCTGTACCCACACATCTTTGTGAAAGTATCTGTGCTTTGTTCGGTGCATTCCCGGGATTGCTGTTTGCTAAATGAATTCGGTTGATTTGTGTTTTGGCGCTAAATTGGCATAATTTCTGATATTTTTGCGGAGCGGAGCTGCTTACATAAAGTATCTGCCACATATGAAAGTAGCTGCGAATTTATGTGTTCTTGCTTGTATGAAATTCTTATACGAACATGTATCTCACTTGCTTGTAAATTAGTTTATGTGCTCGATTTGGTATTCAAAACCTTTATCGTGGTTTTTTTTGTGTGTTTTTATTACCGTTAATGTGTTATTTATGACTTTTGTGATAATTTCAATTTTATTGGCAACAAATTAAAAGGAACAAAACGAAGTACAAAACACAAATATTGTATAAAATATTACAAAATATAATAAAAGTAAAAAATTAAATAAAATACCATATACATTCGCCAATGTTAAGAATGCGGATCGTTTGGTTCCATAGAAACATGCTTGAGTAGATATATTTACAAGTGTATATTAAAAAAATTAGATAGGTGTAAAAAACTGATAATGTACGAAATTAAATATAAATTCTTTATTTAAACATTATATAAAAATATGTATCAGTAGAATATATATCAATCAACAACCCAAATAGTTGGGTATGAGTCAAGGTTCTCAATTGTTTGTTCGTATAACTTCATATAGGAGTTTTTCGACTATATGTGCCGTGATTTCATATTTATTAGAAATGCAAATATAAGGGAAATATATACTCCATATTGTTTTCTCTTATTTCATAAAAAACAATCCTTAAGTGCTTTCTAACACTTTGTCTTCTTCTGAAAAATAGAGCAATAGGCATTTTAGAAAGTAATATACTATCAAATATCCTTTTTTCTGTGCTACTAAACTTCCCAATAAGCTCATAATAATTAACTGTAATTACATATATATAGATCTAATCTGATATATCTAATATATATCTATATATATATAGATATCTTACCTAGCAATCTAACAGAGAACCATATTTATGTTTTGTATCTAAGTAGTGCCATTAACCCTACAGCAACCGATCGATTACAACTGTACCTAACAAATGACCTTTCCAGTTAATAGTAATTACCTTAGTTTGTAAGATTGAAACTTTAAAAGAAAATATATTAATTATTCCAATATTCTAGTATCATTTTCAATATTAAGGATTGAAGAACTTTTATTTGTTAAAAATTGATTACTAACAACGATTTGCAATTCATTAAATATTCTAAGAACATGTCATGAATTTCTTGTAATAACTGCTGTTTTAAAACAATATATATTTTAAAATGTGTATAGTATATCGCATTCGTCTTTTCTTAATTTGGTATTTGTCGAGATTGCACCGAGTAATAACGACTGCCTTACTTACCCTCTACTGCTAAGGTAAACTGGCTTCAATTATGTTATTAAGAAGCCAATAACAGGTATTCTGAAAACATACCATGCATAATTTTCTAGTTATTTCATATCCTACCTTACCTATCCTTACCTTACCTTACCTATACTACCTTATCTCACTTACCTTCTTCTTCTAAGCTTATAAGTATGGTTGGAATAATTATTGATTAAAATACACTGATTGATGCTCAAGAATTTTGCAGCTTTTTTATCTTATATCTTATTTTTCTAATTTTTCTAAGCGGAGCTAAAGAACTACTGGGTTGACCATCTATTTTGCTGAATAGACAACATAATCTTAGTACTTAATGATAGCTTTCCTAAAAATATGATCTCTATGAATATTGGAATTTCTAACAAATTAGAGATGAGTTGGTTGCAATTTGCACTTTAGGTATTTTATTAATTTTATTTACTTACTTACTAATAACTTTCTGAATTATAATGATCTGTTTTAAACGCTGAAAACCCAAGTATACATGCAAGTGTGTAGCAGCCCATATTAACGTTTCGACTTCGGCACCCAGAAACTATGATCGGGTCTAACAAAACCGAATTGTGACTGGAACTAAGCGTGAACAATTCACTTGTAAAATCAAACTCAATCAGAGAAGAAAATTCATTAAATCGAATGGTTTTCTATGATTTTTATGATTTTCATTTCTAAAATTTCAGATATTTTTTTTATTACACTACTCGGCCTCATTGTTGCGTCACAAGCGAGCCATTTAAATGAATACGCGCGCAGCTGCATTCACATACAGACTCACACAAGCGTATTTTGGGAGCTCATAATGCGGGCATAGTTAATTAATTGATGTGAAAGCGTTTAAAAGCGACGATCAACGATCCACGATCTGCAGCCCGCGATCTGCGATCCGCGATCCACAATCGTCTATGGAACACGCACACATTAAGCAAATAAAAAGTTTCAGTTGACGTAGCAGAAATTTTAATGTTTTAATTAATGACTTTCCTATACAATTGCACGGATACGTAAGTTCGATTCTAGATACATTCCCGTTCCTATTCGCAGCCGTCCGTACTCGCTTAAGTATGTACAGAAATGAAATTACTATTAATAAAAGTTTCCAGAAAAAAAAAAAATAGAAATCATAATAAAATAATATTAATAATTCTGCGCAATTCGAGCTTTTTACGTTTTTATTGCTGAGATCATTTTTGTGTTTATTTCTTCTCATTATTAATTTAACCCTGATTTGAATTATTTTACTGATTTTCACTTCATCGATCTTCGGTCTCATATTCCCAGTTCACATACATAATTTCTCATTTCGTACTCGGGCTGTCTTCCACTAAATTGATTTGTTCTTTCGTTTTCGTTAGGTTTTTCATTATCGTTTACATTTTTGTGATTTTATGTGATTTTATGTGATTTTTTCAATGAGGCGTAATTTAGTCTCATTTAAGCATTTTATTTGCTGCATTTGAATTCATTACGTCTTTTTCTGGGTTCAATGAGAAGATATTTAACCTTTTAATGAGTCTGCACTGAGGAGCAATAAAGAAATTGCGTTTTTACGTTGTTTAAAAACAAATGAAAAATTCATTTCTTTCAATTGAACGGAGATCGAAATTTATGGCCTAATTATGAGACACTGAAACTAATTTATAACAATTTTCATAATTAAAGTTTAGTCGAATCCATGGAATTATTACAATTGGTGCTACAAGTGAATTCAATATAATGTCCAAAATATTACGAAAAAGACATTACGGTTCTAAATAGAAAGAAGTCTTTAAAAAAATGCTTACAAAACTAACAAGAAATTTATATGATTGATATAAAAGTTATATTTACGATTCATTATATATAGACGATATGAAACTATCACTGATATTAACAAGTATAGTAGTCGTCCTTCCATTCGAATTTAATAGTTTCATTATTATTAAAATAATTATATAACAAGAACCTCTCTAGTTCTTGTAGGAGGAGAGTGTATGTGTAATCCATCATCCATTGTCTTCCCTCTATAATCTTTCAGGTCAATACGTTTCATACAATAGTTCTGTAACATTGTCAAGTCGTATAGATATGACATGGATCAGGTAATTAATATGATACTTGATACTTTGTGCAACCATTTTAAATCAATCTACTCTTGCAATCGAATGTTTCCACTAGGCATCTGAGGTATCTGTACTTAAGAGACTTGGAATTTTATCTAAAAACAAACACTGTTATATGAAGTGAAGAAGTGAGTATGTAGATGCTTCTTATTACTCAATTTCTCAATTCTCAAGTAACTTTGTAACTTTGTCCTGTCAGCAGTTTCTGTAAGAAAAATAATAAGGATTTATCTTCAAAGCTTCGAAAGAAGGGTATAGAGTAAAAGTTCAGAACTAAATACATATGAACGACAATCATTTAATAAAACAAAAATGGAAAATGAAATGGAATGATATGAGAATAGGATCGAATAACAATACTGCTAATTTTTATTCTTATATATATGTATCTATCATATCTTCAAAATGCTAGAATAATGATAAGATAAGATATACTTACATTTCCATTTGTGAATTATTGAAAAAATTAGTATTAAGAAGTAAAGAAATGCGACACCACAGATAGAAATATAAACATCAGATTTTAACACGCGATTGTAGTAATAAATTGACGGAAATATCTAGATACTTCAATAGTTTATGTTTACATAAATCAATATTAAGTATGAGAAATTTTTGTTTAAACGTCAAAAAATTTTAGTTTAAGTAATGTTTTAGATTATTTAAATTATTAAATAAATTATTTAAATTATTTAGATTATTTGTGTTAGATTTATTTGAAATGTTTACAAAGTGGTAATAAAATCATTTTTGATTATTTATGCTTATTAAACAGTGCTTTGGATCTGGTATCGGAACTAATTTTATGTTTTATATAAAGCTTATTAAAGATCATTTCCTAAGCACATTGACTGACAAGAATCAGATAACTCGTTACAAGTTTACTTATCAAATATATACAATTATGTTTAAATTTGTAGAGCAAATATGAGTGAAGATGGATTCAGCGCAAAAAAGGAAATCAATATGAAATTGGTTGCGATGAAACAATTAACACA